TGCTGAAGTAAACTGGGGTTTTTTCACTGACATTAATGGGACTAGGGTCAGGTCTGGAGAGATCTGGAGATGCAGCTAGGGCCCATCCTGCCATATTTGTGCCTGTCTGTCTCTGACACAGGATAGTTCTGTTCACTGGGTTAGAGGCTAGGTTCTTATGTGCCCAGCTCAAATCTTAAGAGCTCAAAAGACCACCCAGCAGGGTTTGGAGGATGTGGATTCCTGACAATCCCTAATTTAAAAATAGCCCTTCTGGGAACTGTGCCTCTGGTTTAGATTTCTGTGTGATGGGAGAAGAATTGCCACCTTCGTGCAGATGCTGTGGAAAGAAGTTCCCTCAGGAAGTTGACCCCAAGTAGAGCGCTGGGAAATGAGCCTTCTCCCACCCCCTCGACTGACACACAGCCCCTGACGCTTGTCCCTTCCCTCTCTCTCCATGACATACAGGCTCTTCCACATGTCTGAGAGTTGCTAAAATGGGGGCTCTGAGACAGGTTCCTAAATCCACATCCAGCTCCTGGATTTTCAGTAGTGCAGAATGCCCACACATAGACATCATTATTATTTTAGTTCCACTGCAGTAGATCCTGAAGAGATGAACACAGTCCTTTGGTGCCAGGAGTGTGTACACTCATTTGGGAGTGTACAAGTATTACCACTAAGAAGGTCCCCAGTACTGATGGCTCCCAGTCTAGAGTTCAGACAGTACTCAATGAGGTATGAACAGACACATGGGAATGGACAGGGTGACAGCAAAGGAGACTGCATAGGTCAGCAGCCCCTGTAGCCTCAGGAGGGCCCACCTGTTCCTGCTCTATATATGCAAATCCTGGATATGAGCTAGTGAAGTTGCCTCCTAGCAGCCCTGAGCATGTGCCTAAAAGCACCCCTGACAAAGAGCCTAAGAGCGGTGGGTGTGCACCACTCAGCACCATGATGGCTGCATAGCCTTGTTGGCTGGAGCTGGCATAAAGCCTAGGAGTGTGTGGGCAAGGTATACTTTACAATGGAACTCCTGGGTGTGGACTGGAGGGAGTGTTGACGCGTCCTCAGCCATCACAGGCAGTTGCCAGTATAACCAGTGCCAGACGAGCAATTTAGGGACAGCCCAGCGGAGGCTGATTCGAAGTGGGGATTTCAAACGGGATGATGTGATGACTTATTGGATCCTGAAGCCAATGAAAACTACATACCACCTCTGACAAAGCTGAAATTCTGAAAATGTGGGTCTGCCTCATTCTGTGCCTCAGTTTCCTCAGCTGTAGTGCAGGGAGTCCTGACCTTCTACCTTGCAAAGTGTTTTGAGGCCCACCACTGAGAACATGCAATGCACAAGCACAGCATGACCCTGTCTCTTCAACTGGCCCGTAGTCTCTAGCTTGCTCATACTGAGAAACCTCCATTCTTTCAGTGCCAGGGGCTCCTCTGCGCCTTAACGGAGTTCCCTTGCTTTTGCTGGAGTGGGCAAGACTGAAGCCAGCTCCTATCATGGATCTGCTGAAAGCGCAAGGAAAGATCCAACTCCCTGAAGAGAACATGGCTCAGAAAACCCCCAGGATCTGTTAGGTTTTGCTAGGAATGGCCACAAAAAGCAAAGCAGATGCAGGGGAAGAGTGAACCTGTTTCCCATTAACATTCCTGCCTTCTCCCTGTCAGTGGCCTGGCTCTGGGTGAGGACCATGGCTCCTCCCTGCCCTGAGAGTGCACATTTTAACAGATTGACTCAATAGTGCAGGAAAAGCAGAAAAATCCCCTCTGCTTTACCAAGCCCATAAAGGAACCCTGCAGGGGAACTGACAGGCTGAAAGACCATGGAGAGGAGGTGGCGCTGATGTGTAGGAAGTGCAGAGTGACCCTAGTGGTCTCCTCTAAGTCTTTACCCATAAAATTCAATGCATTTTGTGCCTCCTTACGCTGCTCCCTCCCTACTACAGCTGGGATTCTGCCTATCTGTACCTCCCTGGTAATGGGACTGGGAGTGCTCCACAACTTGTGTTGGGCAGGGGTACAGACAACTTCATGTCACTGGGGCTAGA